GAAGTTATCTTTGATGGGCTCTTCCGCATGTAACGTTGGAGCATATACAACGACGACAGTCAGGTTAAACGGCTTTCCCCCGAAGGGCGCTATGGTAATCCTGGGAGAGATTGGTTCCCAGGAGATCATGGCATTGTAGGCCCAGGCGCTCACGGCGATTGCCACCCCGTGCAAACCGGAGTTGTCAGTTGGACCGCTGTGGTATAACCGGGAGGTTGCCTTGCTGTGTGGTACGTTTTGTGCCAGTTAGGTAGTCAGACTTCGGATAGACAACAAATGTCGACCCTGTAGTCGTGCGGCGATCGCATTGTGATACACTGGCTTCCTGTGTCTAGCAATGCTCTAGTATTCCAATAGATTACATGGATGCTGGATTTGGTGTATAGATGGTTTAGGTTCCCAGCTTGCTCATTATTCACCCCAGCCACTGGGAGAGCGCAGGGTGCGAGGTAGCCACACCCATTCACGGTTAACCACCAAGGTGACCGTTCTCCTATCCACGACCTGGAGACGTGCTCGGTAACACTCAGCTGTCCATAGACAGTTCTTTGACGTCCTTGGCAAATGATGTATCTGAAATAACTGCCCATTTATACGAAGGAACGTTCGACACGACGAAGATCCCCCAATCCTGGAAACACGGCAGCATTTCACCTATTTACAAAGGGGTCAGCAGAAGTGATCCTGCGAATTACCGTCCAGTTACACCTCTTACTCTGTCAAAAGTAATGGAATCGATTTTCGCTGATTCTCTGATGGATTATTTCGAGAAGCATAACATACTTTCTCCGGCCCAACACAGGTTTCAAAGGAAACGCTCCTGCACCACAAACCAGCCACTAGTACGAGATGAATGGACAAGATCAGTCGAGAAATCTGAAAGTGGCAAAGACAAATCTGTTTTTTCGGTACTTCTCATCAGGCCAATACAGTACACACAATCGGACATGTGTAGACACAATACATAGTGTGATAATCCGTAGTATAAGTACTCATACAGTTATTGTGATGATTCATGTTGAGGACTGTGTCTGGATGGATCAATCAAGGATGAGTCAAACTGATGTATGTTTCACGATCTAACTGGCCTCAGGCCAGGGCAGTAGTCGACGCAGTGGAGGTAGTAGACGTAGTCTACTTGGACTTTTCCAAAGCTTTTGACAGGGTTAACCATCATATATTTCTGCGAAAGCTCATGGACTGAGGAATTTCTTCGACTACGTACCGTATCGGTTCGAGTTAATGGTTCTCTGTCGGGACCGATTGAGGCTGTCCGTGGAGTTCCACAAGGATCCGTACTCGGTCCGTACCTTTCTCTAGCATTCATAAACGACCTACCAGATATCCTAGGAGGGAAGGCATTATTATTCGCTGATGACGTCAAACATAGAGGATGATAAAATATCCGGAAGATTATGAAAACTTGCAAAAAACTCTCGAAGCAGCTTATGGCTGTTCTATCATTAATGACATCGAATCCAACGTTGAGAAATGCATGGTTGTATCACTGCGCCACAGGGGTCGTTTTCCATACTTACTTGGAACTCAGTCATTGCCGCGATCTCCAAACGAAAAGGATCTGGGAGTTAACGTTCGTAAGGACCTAGGATGTTCCACAATGCGCAAGAGCGTCATCATAGGCTATAAAACACGGATTGCTAAAACGTGTTTTTGGATCATTCGAAAAGACTTATTGTCCCGTTTATTATCAGTATACATTAGACCACAAAAGACTATGGCTGATTCTCGACCAAAAGGCACTCGAACGTCCGCAGAGAACAGCAATTAAAATGTTCAAAGGGTTACAATCTAAGACCTACGGTGAAAGGTTACAAATTCTCGGTTTCCATTTGTCCGAATATCACGTAGTACCTAACACTAGTCAGGAATTGTCACCTCAGAGGACATACGTCTAGACTTTTGCTCCAAAAGAGTCGGCTAGACTGCAGGCGTCATTCTTTCAGCTTCAGAGTTTGTAACACCTAGAACTCTTCCACCTCAAGTTGTTTCTGCACCAACCATCGATTCATTCAAGTCACGATTGGATGAAGCATTGAAACACCTAACTTTTCAGTACCCGTGAGTGAACGTCAGAATTTGCTATTTTAGTGTACTACCAACCGAACCCAATGTGTATAGATCCTATGGGATTCAATAAGCATCAGCATTGTAATTTACCCATAATAAAAATTTGAATTTCACTACGGGCGGAGCCCATACACATTACGGGGATTTGTATCAGTCTTCGGTAGTTTTAGACTAGATTAATTTATCATTTTCAGATCCGTACCGCTGGGGTCAGTAATCCTCACTGGAAGCGCAATAAAAACGTACTAAAATCTGAACAATTCGTAAAGATGATACTTGTACTGCTTAGGACGTCTTTGGAGCGAAAGCGATCGGACCGGCAAATTAAATATTAGTGCATTCTCGCTGAATTCATGAATGAGTGTCAGGTCTAGGATGATTATAATTTAACGCATGCATTCCGGTCTTTAGCGCTAAGCGCTTTGCTACATCCGAGGGTAGAGTTGACTGTTCGTACAAATCTACTTCGCATTGTTAGATGACAGTAACATGTTCATAGTTGGGGCTCGCGGTCTGTTTGTCTGATACAATAGTCTCCAAAGAAAAGTGTAACATGGTATTTTTGATGAAACATATGGGTAAGAACTGCCGCAACTTGTTCAAGGGTCCAGAATTGGTGATCAGATAGTATTATAAGTTGCCTATAAAAACAACATGGAAAAACAATTCGTTGTACTTTGATAACACCGAAATTGCATGAGAACACACCTGATATCCAAACGCTTGTGGTGAATTGTCAATTATTACAGTCTTGCGTAAATCTCGACCCAATACTCGAAGATCCTTCACGTAATTTCCATTCACGCAAACGCAGTGTTCACGAAATAGCCTATGTCTGATGCATTGAACAGAAGAATTGGAAAATAAGTATTGATACCTTATAAACATGAGAAACAGACAGACATAGTTAGACAGGTAATCGGCACCGGGCAAGCAACTGACAGACAGTATTAACACCCAATAAGAACATGCATAGACATACAGAGTAGCTGATTTCAAGAAACGGTAGTCTAAAATTAGGGTAATGAGAAAGCTTCACCGCGCCCAGTTGTGACATGGATCACAATAGAAACTATCGTTTCTTTATTACTTGGCAAACGAAACTAAGAGATGTCAGCAAGGATTTTTCCAAAATCTTCAATTTGTTGATCGACTAGCTGTTGCTCACTTTTATTTCACCAAAACTGGTTATTAACCAACACAGCGAATGCGTCGATTAGGAGTAAGCACAGTGTAGACCACGGCTACTTATTAACTTTGAATAACTTCAGTGTTTCTGATGTGATTATCGAACCCCATTTAGACGATGCTGTATCCCGGGTTAAAATGTTTATGAAAGAGATCGATCACTGGATTTCTGCAAACCGAAAATAAGAAAGACGAATGTCAGAGTTATGAAACGTCTTGCAGGACAAAAACAGTTCACATGAAATCAAATTGAAACTGAAACATAATCCGGAGGTTAATTTCGCTACATGAACTCATTTTAAAAACTACATTCGTTAGAGGTCATTATCAAATCACATACATCAACATCAAACGACTGTTCCGTTAGATGTATTAAAGCATAGCAACCGGTGACCTTACTAGCTTACGGTGAGAACAGCTGTGCGTCACCAGGTGCATCTCCAGACAGAGAACAAAAACGATCAAATACGTGGTTCACCGTGAATAGGTAAATGTTGCTTTAGTGAATAAGTGGTTACTAATGACCGAAGACAAAGCCTAAGGGGGTGGTAGTCTATCACCTGGTAAGTGCTCTCTTTACAACAAAAAAAATCCATCAATGTCTGCAGAAGACACCGCGAAGTGCGCGATTAAAGTCTACCGCTTTTATTCTAAAGGCTTGGTCGTTCAAGAGCTAGAGGTGCAATCTCAAAGGGGGAACCAAGTGGTACTGGGGTAGACACTGCGTAATAAATTGCAAACGATATTTGTTATTCACTTTATTTATTAAATAAAAGATAAATCACAGCGTTTACCCAATGGTAGCAATTGAAAAACTGTCTCATGGTAGTAACAGCAAATCTTGGTGATCGACTCACTAACTATTCAAGTTTATTTTATTCCATTGTCATAGTGCTAAAAACAAGTCACAAATGGTGTGTACGAAAAGGATCGGTACACACAGGACAGAAAGCACGCTGAACTTCTTGGTCAACATACACTTTAGCTTGATAGGCCTGTGTTCAGCGAAATCACCAAGCACAAAACCACCAAGAACATAACTGATACAAACTACAACTGAGAATCAAGTGACATGGTCAACGAAAAAATACAACTAAATTCGCAATGTAAGTATCTTGAGGATCACCGAGGATTAGTGATGGAGCCATATGATGAGCATACGGCACACCGACGACTGAATGACTCAGAATTGGTAGTCGGCACCCAAGCACACCGAAAGAAAACTTACACTAACTAATTTGGTGGTTATTAACGGTAAAGAAAAGTACAGAGAGAAATTGCGATTAATATCTAAATTAGTGAACATCTGCCAAGTAATGGAGCTAGCTAGTCTATGTGGAAAGGGTTCACATAGCGTATGAACTACCAGTACATTGTAGTGAGACGAACAAGAATGAGGCATTGAGGTGAAAAAAAGTGGTTAATTTTTTGTATGCCTAAGCAGCAGAAGACGCTTTACATTCAGTACCAATTGCTTCCCAGTTCTTTTTTGGATACATGCATTTTATTGCACATCGGAGCATGATGAACGTTTGAAGATTTGGACTCCAAAGTCAACAAGACCTACTGATCGATAGTGTGATGCAAGAACCAAGGGAATGGAAGCGGTGAATTGCTCAAGGTTCATTCGTGGAAAGATTAAACTAGGGTCACCCCGGATGATAACAGATTTCCTTAGTATCAAAGTGAGATAATTTTTGTGGGGATGAACATTGGACTTGATGAATCGATGCACAAAAGAAAAAGATCGTAATATCACACAGCGACTCACAATTAATTTAGTTTCACTTCGTGAGACTAGCTCTTGTCTGAAGATGAACCGGTTTTAGATATCTTTGATCGATACTGTACATGGTAAGAATTCCAAGGCGAGGTTCATACAACGCGTCCCCTAGGTCCCGTTCGATTCCCGTAGATTACAACTGTTTTGAAATTCCAATCATGTTCTGCTTTACAATGCTGCATCTTAATCTCAACCACCTTGGTAGCAGCGTCCACCTGGGTGTAGTGCTCACAGAACATTATCGCAAGTGTACCATCAAGTTGCCAGAGAACATACCCAAATTACTGCAAGCGCTGGCGCATAGTTATGGAACGCTTTCGACGAAAACAAGGCTTTGATATTGCTTCTGCAGGATGGATCTCAAGCAATCAACATTGGAAACTACCTAGTTTGGTGCATAGCAGGAGCGTTCTGGTCAGGTTTTATAAGTGTATGTGAGAAATCCATTCGAAGCGATTTCACTCCTGTTCATATTTGATGAATTGTATTTCACAGCGGGGCTTCTCTGTTTTTAACCTATTGATTCATCAATCAGGAAAGGGTACACTAGGAGCGCATCATTGCTGGTTTTACGTTTTAGATGTACTGATACTTAGTCCAATGACCATAAAAAGCTGCTGATACGACTGAAAATCGAATGGATTACCTTGGAGTTTCCATGGGGATGGCATTACCAGTAGCAAATTATAGTCCATTAGGAACACATCACAGCAGAGTGGCACGTCAGGACAGTCGCTGGTTTTCTGGTTTTTCAGTTGACGGTGAAAGTGAACAGTACCGGTGAATGAGCAGTGCTGATTAACTCCCGAGTGAGGTCTTTATAAACACGGACACAAGCTCAAGTACGTTCTCGTTATTCGCAAGTTTTTTTGCATATTACTCAAGCAGACCGTTGTAACAACGGTTGTATGGAAGTGCATGGAGCGAACCGCTGTCAATTGTTGTAACCGATGAAAAGTTCCAGGATTCTGTATAACATGAAGATGCGTTCTACGCACTCTCTTGAAGGGAAACCCCTACCCTCTGATTGCAACGGCTACGGTTGATCCTAAAGACTGGTAAGCGGTTTAGAGCGGCGCCACGAACGTGTCACCAAGACGAAATCCTCGTTAGCTCTCGCAGTTCGTTTGTCAGATATTATAAGATATGGACGATCAGGGTAGAGCGTGACTCAGAAATTGATTCGGACTCCCAAATGGAAGGGAACAATGTCTTAAGAAGGTCGAATCTGGTCGAGATTTTGTAGAACCGCGAGGTATTATCTTTTTCAACACCTGGTCTCCAAGGAGCTCATCACCAATTAAGGCTTAGATTAAGACTCCTAGTCGCTTGGAACGGGTCAACACTGCACATATATAACATCGGTAACTACACTGCGAATGGAGGTTGGATTTGAAGTATTTTGTTAGATGTGTGTTGAAAAAACAGCCCATATTTAGACTGAAACAAAAATACCTGGATAATCACACAATGCAACTCACTTTATCCATTTCTTCTTGGGGTCAATCAAATTGACAAGGCGATCTGCATAGACCTTGGTGCTAGCAGTGAATAGGACCACCTCAAAATCCTCGGAAACCCGAGAAAGAAATTCGTACAAATGGGGTCGAATTCGGACATAGACCTGAACAAATGAAGGTGAAGGAGAATGACTCAGATGTGTTTCCTTTTTACAAAAAGATGTGCAGCGAAATAGTACATCATCAACAAGAGTAACTTTTATTAAGATTTTGTGGAAAATTGGTGCTGTTTACTAATTTTCGGTCATTAGGTACTAAAGTATGCTTGTTTTTACCACTACTGTCGAAAAAGTCAGGTGGTATGAAAAATAACAGCAATTGACATGTTCCACCACATGTAAAACCAAGATGAACATGATGGGATAAGGAGTGAAATGAGCGGGACACAAGAACAGTTGTAGCCGGCATAATGAAGGTAGCAATGAATGCCATTTTGCGTTTGTCTCCAAAATATCAGGTAACTTCCCGACTCAATTCTGTTCGCTCATGATCCAACTGGTCCGTCTTTGTTGGTGGAAGTGAACACAGAAAGGCTCAACGCTTGAAATTCAATCTCGTTGCATCTAGGAACAGCTCCACGGTCACACTTAAACTCGATGACGTGGTTCAGTATTTCAAGTTCGGGTGGTTAGGTTGCTGGTTTCCGCAAGTGAACAGTATCTTATCGTGAATAGAGATTAACCCAGTATCATCACACAATGACCAAGGTTGCGAGTTTATAAGAAAAACTCACCATATACACTACACTGTGGGTCGTGCCACGCACTCTCAGAGTACCTCCACCAATATTACTGATCGTAATTGCAGCATCGATTACGTGCAGCACTATCTTGAACCTACCTTTCTCTTCTCGTGATGTTTTTCAACTTTCGGTGACTCGATTATCTTCTAAGATCTTACGCACCTTTCTGCTCACTATAAACAGCATTCAGTCTCCCTGCTTGAAGCTTTGTACGTCCACCGGTTCACCATTCAGCACCAACCACTGCTTTGGCTGACCGTGTTTTTAAATGCGAATTTCAGTTCTTGCGGTTAAAGCTCAGTATATTATCTTGAAACCACTACCTTCGCATTCTTCATTACCCCTCCCCCTTAGATTCCAACACCCAGATCACCATCTTTATAAAGTCTAAATACATTACACTACACAAAATCGCATGACACGGGACTTCTGTTCTTCTTTGGAACTTTTGGACTATGTGCAGCGTTAAGTCATTCAGCATGTCGTTGATCCTATCTTGGCATGGAACAGATGAAACAAACCCGCTGTACCACAAATCAAAGCAGTAAAGATAAAAAGCGTATTGGGAGACGATCTGGAGCTAGTTTAGTGATTAAATTTGTAATCCATGAAGACTACCGTGTATTTTACACCGTCGATTAAGGAGACAGACGGGCGATAATCCTAAACGTATTAACAGTAATGAAGGAGCGAAAAATACTTTGTGCAAAACTGGTAGATTAGGTAGAGTTAGGTGTCAGGTGTGGCATCAGAAGACGATCTCGGTGACAGCATGATACTAAGGAAAATAATCATGACCAAGGGTTCAGATCAGTTCAGTTTGTTCAACCATTAACCATGGACTTATGTGCTCTGGTTTTGGTTGCCCATTTGGATAAAAGAGCAGGATGGAGACTGGAATGTTGAAAGCAAATTCAAGCGGAGGATAGAGAGTTTAAACACACTGGTGGAGAGTAAATAATGAATACATGCATGAGCGTCACTGTTCGTGACATCCAGCCATCACTCAGTGTTTCTAACCATCGGTGACTATTATCACGAGGTCCCCATCCAGGGAGCCTAACAGGACTTATGTGACCCCGACTCCTAGTTAGGGTTTTCGTACTCTCATACCAGGTCCTCGTTTGACCGCCCTTGACCTTTTTCCAGCCGCTACCTGAGTCGGCAAACATCGCTCGCCGTGGCAGCGTATCTGGTGACATGCGTAACATGTGCCCCAAACAAAGTGATCTATGGGGGACGACTACTTTCCTCTCGGTGGATTGGTTCGCAGGGAGATAATTGCAGTAGGGTCTTGTATGCGTGTTTCGGAGACAAAGCATACATATAAATGGAAGGTTTCAAGAGTTCTAGCTAAGGCAGCTTGTAAACCGATCTAGTAGAGTGTGCGGATATTGAGTGCAGCCAAGTACAAAGGGGATTTTGGTTTCAAACATCTGATAGCCTCTAAGTGGTTGAACTTATTAGCTGAAAACTGAGTGCTATCCGATCGGTGGCGCGAACAGGATGCACGTCTTAAGGTTTGGGAGTGGGAAGAGAAAGTGGACGGATGGGACAGAGTTTTGAAAAACGGGGTACCTAAAACTGGGGCACGGCATACTTCGCGGTAGCCTGCACCGACGAAGTTTTTTCTTTGGGAACCCGAACCGGAGCCTTCGACTCAAAAACTGACTCGCAAGGCAGTGGGGCGTAGATCCAACGCGGGAGCGTGAACAAAGCATACGTGTGGAAGCTTCTGGAGACCTGTAACGTGAAGCCTTTAAATTTCGGTTAAGTTATTCGCTGATGCGTTGATTGACGGTCCGCTTTTCAGAATCAGCCCTTAGCCTCATGCACCCAATGAGATAAGTGGAAGGCGGACGGACAACACTTTACTGGTTGGGAGCCGCCCAGTTTGGGCGGGCGGTAGCTGTCCAGTGAAGCGCGAAGACTTCTCCCACCGTCGAGAGGAAGCCCCAGTTACCTCGTTCCTACGTCCATCTAGCGGGGGGTTTTGACCGATAAACTGTCCGTCTTTTTGCCGGAGTGATCTCTCCGGAGGTGGAAGTGGATAGTCAAAGGAAGTCAGCAGGTGCCCGAGTAACTGGCATCGTGAGACTGACCTTCGTCTGGCCTCTACCCATTGACGTTCAGACATAGTTGGCTCTGTGGCTGTGAGGAACCATCCTTTACAGCTCGCAGGGTCATAGAAGTACGCAAGTCATCACACCACGTCAAGGTGCATTCTCGTCGTGATGGTAGAAAAAAGACAGGAAAGTTGAAAGCGGTATAGATGAGAAAATGGAGAATTCCAGTACACAAAGGTTGCTAATAAATTGAGATGTATGAGCGACACTGGTTATGACACCCAGCCATATCATTCAGTGTCTCTAACCACCGGTTACGATGATCTCCTAGTTCTCAAAGAGGAAGCCTTAAGTGACCTATATAACCAAGTATTCTGGTTGGGATCTTCACACTTCTTATGTCAAGCCCTAGTTTGATTACTCGTGGCTTTATTTTACTCACTACCTGTCTCGGCAAAAATCGCCCGCCGTGGTAAGCTATTTGGTGACATGCGTAACACATGCCCCAGCCAACGTGATCTATGAAGGTCGAATTCTTTCCCCTCAGAGGATTTCTTCGAATCTCACCGTCTGACTTTTCCCATGTGTGTTGTATGGTAGCCCTTTGAAAGGCGGCTTCCCTCTTCTTTATAATAGCACCATTAGGGATTGAATAATTTTTTTTTTAATAAAAAGAACACCTGCGGGGCGCGAATACTCGATTCATAAGATAACACAATTCATGCGAAAAGGGGATTCTGGTTAATAGATCAGTGTTAGACACATGACCAGTGGCAGTATACATAATCAACACCGGCTTGTAGCCAAGTATGGTGCCAACGCTACAACAATAATAGGAATAACAATAATAGGAGATGGGTGGATTGGGGTACAGAACAGAGTGGAAAGAGGGCTAAACAATTAACCGCGGGAAAATGAAAGATAACTGGGGTAACAAACTCTTATGTGTTTCACTGTACATTTTCTGATATTTTTTGTTGTTTGTTGCCTTAGCGTGGAACGGGATTTCGGCAGGCAGACCGTACAGCATTCGCGCCACAAACGTCTGTTCCCAGCCAAAACCGGCGCACAAAAGTGCATGGTTAATGGTTGTAAGAACTGAACTGAACTGAACAGCTACTCGACTTCTCGAGTTGGACCAAGCACAACGCGATAAACCATGACATGCAGTTTGCTTCACCCAATTACCGAGTTCTTGTTCATCATTAGCAGAAACCCGTTCATACACATTTGCTGGTGAGCGCACGAACCTCATACACAGCTCCGTTTACCCGTGTAGCAGAGTAACTGATAGATACCTTATTGACAGTCGCCAAAACGTTTGTGGTTCTACTCATAAACGTCGTTTCAAACCGCAATTAACTAAGCCACCAGAAAACAGAGCATTCTTGATAAGCGACCAGTGCTGGTTAACATTATCGAGTTGGGTTGGTTCTAGCTTTTCAGCTAGCGCGTTTTGCAACACAGTTAGAAAAGCTGGTTTGGACAGCTTATCACAGTCTAACCGTCGTTGTGTCGTGCGTTTGAAACGCCCACCGAAGCACATGGACAGCTTGGTGCGTACTAATGCGTGGTCGGGTTCGAGGTGAGTGTACCAGTACGATCGGCAGTCTTGAATGCAGCCTCGCCATTTGTGGCTTATCACGATGTGGTCGATCTGCGTCCATCGCTGGCTCGACGAGGGCGGACGCCAGGTGGCATACCGGCAGCTGGAGCGTCTGAAGTTCGTACTGGCGAAGAATAGGCGGTGATCGGAACATAGAGCCAACAGTCGTTCCCCGTTTTCCGAGCGACAGAAATCTAGTCCAAAAGGACCTCCCAGGCGCGCCTCACTCGAAGTCAAACGGCCTACTCTAGCATTTAGATCTGGCAGTGCGTCACCTTTGAAATTTCATGGATGGAAACCGTAGTGGTGATCGCTGAGTAGCCCTTCGCGTTCAAGATGATGGATGAAGCTGATAACAAACGAGTTGCGTCTGGCGCTCTAGCCCCGCCACAACCCAGGATATTGGCCTTTCGCCTTCTACACAGGAAGGCATAGCAAGCAGGGATGAACGATGGGAGAACGGGTGTGCAGAATCTACGAGGCGGCTGAAACTGCTGATGGTCGAGATTGAACAACAAATGAATGATAAGTGTGCGCCATTGGTGTCTATCCATAATCTGAGTAACGAGGATCGACAAACACGGCTGCAGCAGGTAGTGCTGGAGCGTCAGTACTGTCAACCAGAAAGACCAGTACCAAGTAAACTTGCAATTTCGAAACAAATGTTATTAGAAAGTGGGCTAGAAACACTCAACCGAATGAGCTGCAAGATCTTACTAGATATCAATAGGTCACAACTTAAGTAATTGGTTCAGTGACCATGGACAAAAACTTGGAGCCAGGAAATGCAACACAAGAGCAGGGCTAAAATACTGGTGAAACAACATCGTGAAAACCAATAAACTAAATTAAAAGAAAATTGATGAAGAACTCGTGTGACATACCATATAGACAACACCTTGGAAAACGACTTGAAAAATGAACTGGGCATCGGCCAAGGGATTGAGACTACAATGAACCAGAGTTTCATCTAGATCCAAAACCAGGCAGAACTCTGGAGACGACCTCGTCCGCTTTGGCAGGGCAGGAGGCTGGAGAGCAAGTTCCGGAGATAGTGGTGGTAAATTGTGAATGAAGGCATAGCTGGAACGGAAAATAAACAAATAGAAAGTACGACCAACAACCCCAACTGTGGTGAACAACAGATGCCGTACTGGAAATTTAACCTCCGTTGACGAGACTATAATTACCAAGCTGGGTGAACAACTGATAAAAAAGGTCAACTACCCTGTACATGAAAACAAGATCACCATTCACAAGTCTGTAAAACCCGAGATTGTAACACCAAACACATGTTCGGTAGTGATAGGAATAATCACAAAGGTTTCGCTAGTTTGTGTGAGTAACTCACGCGTCGGATTCATCGAAGTCCTCTGGATCATCTGCCTCCTCGATTGCAGATATTTCTGATGCAAGTTCCAGGGGAACGCTACTGTAGGATGATTCGCTTGGTTCGTGTTCCCCGTCAACATTTAGAGAGCGTTCTACAGTAGTTCGTGTCTCGTCTAATTCACCAGCGGACAGAGGAACATGCGACAAATTAGGTTCATTGGACACTGATTGTTCGTTGATTTCAGTTAAAACACCAACCGGAGATCGGTCTTCATTTGGCAATATGTCTAACAAATCGCAACCGTGTGTAACACCGTTGAGAATTCCGCGTTGTTCTTCACTGCGACATTTGACCGATTTGGAGGATGGAACGGAAGTGCAGTCAGTTTGTCTAGTTGGATGCGCGAACGCAGCCAAAGTCTGAAGCTCCGAATGCGTTGGGCTATTCTTGAGAATTCCTTGGGGTTCAACTGGGTTATCCGCGTGGAAAGAGTTGCATTTCGAATACTGAGGAATGGTGCGGCTGTCGGTTTTAGGTTGTGGCTGAAGAGTAAGGAAGAAAATGAATTTGAAATTAAGTGGCAGTTTTACTGAGATAGGAGTTAACACTGAAACACACTTCACAAAATTCAGCATAAACCAAACACGAACCGAATTACTGACTACGAAGACAAAATGTAGAAGTATTACATGAACGGGGCAACATGTTCATCTACTGACGAATAGAGTGGAACGATAAAGATGTTCTTCTCTATTTTCGATGACAGTTCACAGGTACAATTTTCTTGTCGTTCTCGTATGAGTTTCATCACTTCGGCACCAAAGCGATCGCTGAATTACAGTCTAGTGGTCTGAGTTCTATTAGCTTCGGTTTCATACCGCTGTAAGCTATTCATGGGAGATGTGAGATATGTACCAGGTAATTACCATCAACGCGCTGTGTTCTGTTCACTCCTGCTGGAACACGAGTTATTTTCAGACCGAGATATCGATCGCCGAATATCCAAACAGTAGCGGACGTGGATCGCTGCGGAGGATTTCTGGCCAAGTCAGATGGTAGAATAGGGTCCGTGTTCTTTCCTGAAAATTCACAGCCGTATGTCATAAAGGGAAGGAGCCAATCAGATGGCAATTAAGGGGGAGTGGTGAGTGATTCCCGGATCAAACGACGCGCAAGGTAAATTTACTAAATTGATGAAAACTGATTCACAACTGAAAGGTGACTTAGATAGGTGACGAAAAATATTTACTTTTGGCGTAGAACTAGCAACAATCTGAACACAAACAGTAGCAACGGAATTCCAGAGAAGAAAAGATGATGCCAAGAAGGAAGGGAAATGATGAGACCTTTGGTTAGTTTTTCACCTGCAGCACTTCGAATTTTATTGTACTTTTTTAGATGGAACGGAGCCGGTTACCACAACAAGGCAGCGCACAGATTTGGTGCTGACCTCGATTTCAGACCGTCTTATGTAATCTCCAACAAGCAGCAAATCCTGTTTAGTGGGCCTCATGGTAGTGACAATCCTAATGAAGCAAAAATTTTTGTCAGCTGCTTCTGTAACCTATCAACGATGGGGCTGCTACACTGTCTTCTTTAACCCTGTCCAACGATCTCAAATAAACCATGATGCTGACACGCGCAGCAAACGAAATCCGACGCGATTGGTTATTCCGAAATAATGCCCGCCATCTAATTCCCTTGGGACTAACACCATAATTTCACTACAAACTGGTAAAAGTAATGATGCAAACAAAAATTTAGCAAGTTAGCTTCGCGTAGATGGTCTCAGCAATACAATCAACCTGTGGAGACAGAAACGGAATAAATCCGTTTACGAAACAGATGCGAAGCCCAGCAAGATGTGCACAGTGGTATTGTTTTATATACCTCTGGTCTCGGGAGAGAAGAGCTGTATGCTATCGAGCGCGTCCCCAGGTCGCGGATAGGGTAACGAGAGTCATCTCGCGGCTAATCGTGAGTAAAGTCGGCCTAGGCATCCCGAATAAGCGGTCGCCGACGATCAGCGGTAGCGCTCGGAGATGTGGTGAGTTGACCTATTGGTAAGCGTTCTTCACACAAAACAGCGCTGTGATTTGGCCAGTGTGGACCGACACTAAATTTGGCCCCTTGTCCCTTGTGCAAGGTTTTACAAAAGAGGCGAATGAAATGAGAAATCGCTACCGAACCATCTGGAACACAACTGCTGCCTTGCAGTCCACGCTGCCGGAGGGGGGAAATCGAGTAGTACAATAGACCACAACGCACACAACTATGCACATTCTTGTGCTCTTGAATTCTCACTCTGAACCTTCTTCAATCGAAAGACATTCTACAACTTACCCTGCTTGCTATGCCTTCCTGTGTAGAAGGCGAAAGGTCAATATCCTGGGTTGTGGCGGGGCTAGAGCGCCAGACGCAACTCGTTTGTTATCAGCTTCATCCATCATCTTGAACGCGAAGGGCTACTCAGCGATCACCACTACGGTTTCCATCCATGAAATTTCAAAGGTGACGCACTGCCAGATCTAAATGCTAGAGTAGGCCGTTTGACTTCGAGTGAGGCGCGCCTGGGAGGTCCTTTTGGACTAGATTTCTGTCGCTCGGAAAACGGGGAACGACTGTTGGCTCTATGTTCCGATCACCGCCTATTCTTCGCCAGTACGAACTTCAGACGCTCCAGCTGCCGGTATGCCACCTGGCGTCCGCCCTCGTCGAGCCAGCGATGGACGCAGATCGACCACATCGTGATAAGCCACAAATGGCGAGGCTGCATTCAAGACTGCCGATCGTACTGGTACACTCACCTCGAACCCGACCACGCATTAGTACGCACCAAGCTGTCCATGTGCTTCGGTGGGCGTTTCAAACGCACGACACAACGACGGTTAGACTGTGATAAGCTGTCCAAACCAGCTTTTCTAACTGTGTTGCAAAACGCGCTAGCTGAAAAGCTAGAACCAACCCAACTCGATAATGTTAACCAGCACTGGTCGCTTATCAAGAATGCTCTGTTTTCTGGTGGCTTAGTTAATTGTGTTCTGGCACGACGCGCCATGATACCTTGGATCTCTGTGGAGTCTTTATGCTTTCTTAGCGCACGTCAGTCAATTACGACCGGCAGCGGACATAATGAAAGACCACTCGCAAAGAGACGTGAACTTAACGCAATCCTACGTAGAGACCGCAAGATCTGGTGGACTCAACGGGCATCAGAGATGGAACGTTCTTCCGCCATGGGAAACTCCTGTAAGCTGTTCCATGTCATCTGGATCACCGGTAGGAAAGCTTTGGGTGTTGGCGAAACGATCTGCGAAACGGTTTGCCCATTCATAATCAACAGCGACATGTTGCACTCTGAGCGGAGCACTTCAAGACGCAGTTTAGCTTGCCACGATTGTCGGCTTCTCAGATAGCTATTCCGGCACACGTTTGTGTCAACATCCCTGCTTCTGAGGCGGAAATCTGTAAGGATATCTAAGCCTTGGGGCGTCACAAAGCGCGGGGTTACGATGGCCTTCCCGCAGCTCTATTTAAAGATGGTGGAATAAAGCTTGTTAGAGAAGTGGTTGCTCTGTGTTCTAAAGTCTGGCACACTGAGCAGGTCCTCTTCTCGTGGGGAGGGGGGGGGGAACCAGTTTTCATCTTCACCTTTAAAAAGGGTCCGCGTAGTAACTGCGTCAGTCATAGGGGTATAAGCCCTATCCAAATAGTGTCAAAGACGGTGACGTCCGTCATTCTCCCCCTATTGTACACCATACATGAGGAGCAGGTTGGGTTTCGCACCATTCATGGATGCATGGAGTAAATTTTCACCCTCCAAAATCCGACTGTCCCCTAAAGCAAGGGTGTACATTGCCGCAGTTCGTAGCGTTCTACTTTACCGTCTGCCTGTTGAAATCCCGTACCCTTTAAAGAAAACGAGGAATTCGCACAAAAAATATCAATATATGTATGGTGAAACAAACAAAAAATATTCTCGTTTTGGAACTTGGCTATCTGACTCGTTTACACTATCTTGTATTGCACCTCCCCATTCTCTGTTATTACTGTCGCGTTGGCACCAAGCTTGCTTATACGCCGGCGATATATATATATATATATTCGATTGGCTGCGCTACATTTTCTCTCTCTCGGAATTATTCCGTTTTCGTAAATATCACATAGTGACTACTCGGAAGGTCTATTCGTGCTCTCAGTTTATGAGTTTCAAACATGATCATCTCAATACTGTGCCTCTGGTGTCCTCGTCGGCTCATATTCGCACTCCTACTAAAATGAAGAATCGCAAGCGCGGTGGCTGACAAGCAGCGCTTAGTCGCACACCGCCATCGAAAAGTACTGTCCCGTCATTGGTCAGCGCGAAAATCCGGTCGCTCTTAGCAAAGATGACAGATCTAACGTACACCCTTGATTCACGCATCCACCGTAACATGTGTGTTGTTTGTATCCAAGACTCCTGGCTTGACCATAATGTCGAGGACTCACTAATTGCAATCAATGGTTTTAAATGCTTCCGTATGGCTAGGAAGCACTGTAAGAAGAAAACAGGAGGTGGAGTGATCACGTACATCANACATCAACTCAACCTGGAGCGGCAAGTCTGAAATTCTTTTTGATTATTCCGCCGATGGCATCGACTGCTTAGCTGTTCAATGTTTCCCTAGATGTTCGCAATACAGAAGTACAATCATTAACAACTTATACATAGCCCCCTTTTGTACCCAGTCTCACATTTCATCTTCCTTTGATGCATTTATTCCATCTTTCGTTCCCCTCATAGACTTTAGTTTCCACATCATTGTCAGTAACTCATATCATGCGTCCACCTATCCCATGACTTCTTTTGGTTTAACTGATATTTGCTTGTTCCCCACAAGAGGTGATTCATTTTTAGACAAGGTTATTACTAATCGCCCAGAACATTTTTCTCTAAAACTCACCGCACCTATTTCCACTAGTGACTGTGCACTGATTTTCATAAGGCCCGTCCCATTCACAATAAACTCACAGGAGCTAATCAAATCACCATTCGTCTTCGCAATTTCTCCCCAAGAAACACACTTCTTCTTAAGCGTTCCATCATTGTCGTTTCTTCGTGGTTTTCTTCTTATCCCTCTTTACACAATGCAGTCAACTTATTCACTGAAACACTTAACCACACGTTTAACCTATGCCACCCTTTTGAAACTCTATTTGCTTCTAACGTCAGAATAGCATCTCCACTGCTGAAATCATTCAGAAGATAGAAGGAACGAT